TCGGCTCTTGCTTCTCAGAGGCTCTTGCTTCACTCTGAGAAGCAAGAGCCGAAGACAGAAGCCTGAAGATGATGAATGAGACTTCATCGAAACGTTGCCTAGATACTTCGAATCTTACGTGGGAGAAAACCCGAACAACCAAAGATCCATATACACATACATATACATATATATATGTAGACAAAATATATTGGAAATGTGTATTAACTTTTAAAATTGAAGCCAAGGGGAAATTACATTCTCAAATACTGATACTTTAAAACTCAAATTTTCTTGCTTTAAGGGGGAAGGAAGAGAGGCAACTGATTTATACTAACGTTTGTTGAAGGAGACTGCTTGGAGTTTTATAAGATTAGAGATTAAATTGCAATAAAACTTCCAAAAAATGTCTTGGAATCATGTAATTGAATTCTCCCCCAGGAAGAGCAAGTAAGAAAGAGAAACAGAATGCGTTGGATGTACTGACTTTGATTGCTTTATGACTTTGGGACTTGAATTATCTTTTGAAAGACTAAGAAAATATTTGGACTGCTTAAAAAAAAAAATCCTTTTCTGTTCACAATGGTATCTTTTGAAGAATTGAAAATGCAGTTTGAAAAATTAAGAGAAGAGGAAGCTGGCTCTTTTGGATCTATCTTTCGCTTTTTAGAAATGGCGATTTCTGCTTACCAGGAAATGCAACAAGAAAGAGGCTTGGACGATGAAGAAGAAGCCATCTTTAATGGACATATGATTTTAAAAAAGGGTAAAAAGGAGAAGAAAATCAAGAATTTAAGCTCTAAAAAAACAATTAAGAAAGGGAAAAGTAAGGTGAAAAATCAATATAATGATAGAAAGCAATGGAAAAGAGGAATACAACAGAGAGGGGAGATTAAAAAGCTGGAGATTGAGAGGGGGGGGTAAAAAGGTTAGATTTGATGAGGAAGGAAGGGACAAAGCGAAGGGAAGTTATAAAGACTTTAAACAAGATGTTAATAAACAACTTTTTTTTAGAGACAAAGGGTAAAATATAATTTAAATAGAGATTCTGCAAAGGTACACAAGACTGTATTTTATATTTGTATTTGAAATATGTGTTAATAGAATATTGTAGGGATTGTGTAATTGATGTTTAATTAACTAATTTGTTAGGGAATACTATTTTTAATATACTATAAGAATATTATGTTTTTTTTTTATTCTAAAATGTCATGTAGAATGTACTAAGCAGAATCAGAATAGAAATAATGTTTAATTTTAAGTGTTGAATTTGGGGGGAAAATAGAAAGGTGTCATACTTCAATCAGTCATTACAGGAAAAAGTTTGTGTTTAAGAGAAAGATAAATGGATGATTGAAAAAGAACGGACAAAAAATACAAGTGAAATGATTTAAATTGAGATTAAATAAATAAAGTAGAATTAAGAGAGTGAAAAGAGGGGAGAAGATATATGTAAAATGTAGAATTTTTAATAAGATATGAAATAGTATATAAGCTGAGCATGAATTTAATTTAAGTCTGTACCAAAAGTTATAACCCGGGGTTAAGCCGCTTTCTAAAAAGAAGTTTTATATTTTTTATGTTATGTGTTTTGTCAGTTTACATTTGCTTATTGAGGAGTAATATTGGATAAGAACATATGAAATAGTAACAATATGAAATATAGTAATATGAAATATATGAATGAATAAAATTGAATAGAAATAAAGGAAGAAACAGTAAGAAGGTAGAAAACAGTAATAAGATATGAAGTTGAATATATAAGATGCATATTAAGTTATGTGTGGAAATGTGATAATTTAGAACTATATTGTACTTAAATGAGATGTCATTTGTCTTGTTAAGTAGCTGTTGGAAAAGATGTTTTATGTTCTTATGTCTTATGTTTTGTTTGTGTACTTTTTTTTTTGAAAATTAATAAAATTTTACTTAAAAATATATATATATATATTGGAAATGTATTTGAGAGTACCTGTATTAAGAGAAAGTTAAAGAAAATGATGTATCAGTTTAAAGAAAAACTGTGTTGAAAAGGATATTTTTTCAGTAAGGTCAAAATATTTGAAATAATACAATGAATTTTGCAAATAAAAATGGTGACAGTTCACAAAGATTTCTAGGTGTAAACAGTAATACACATTATTTACAATGCAAGGAAGATAAAGCAGGAAAGGATTTTATTCAAAGAGGATATCACTTTTGGAATTTGTACTTTATATTTCACACCCACTTTTCCCCTCTCCCTTTCCTTCCCTTAATTTCCTTTTTTTTCTTGTGTTGTTTGTATTTTATATAATAAAATAAAACCTTGGTATGATATAAATTATGAGTCAGTTGCCAAGCATCTGAATTTTGATCAAGTGACCAGAGGTTGTTGCAATGGTTGTAAGTGTGAAACATGATCACAAGTAACTTTTTTCAGTGTTGTTTTAACTTCGAATGGTCATTAAATGATCTGAACTGTAAGTCATGGACTACCTGTATAAACAGTTAAGATTCTATAGATTGTGGTGCAGTAAAAGTGTGGAAATAAATAAACAAATAAACTTGATCATTCAAGCAGGCAAGGCACTACTTCCAGACACAAAAAATGCACAAATCATAAAAAGTAGCCCTCAAGTTGGATCTCCATGACCTCACATAGACTGGATATCTGGGCTAACCCAATTAGGAAATGCTGAAGCAGAAAAAACATTATCAAGAGTGTTGAGCATCATTTCCACTTGACCAGAAAAGCAGACATTTCCCACTGTGACTGGAGGAACTTTGGCTTCACCTCACCACACAACTCAAGGCACCAATTGCCGTTGGCGGCAGTCTCCCCACCCCATCTAATCAATCCGAATAATAATCTTGCAAATCCTTTGCAAAGTGGCAACTTAATTTTTTTTCTCCCCGGAGTAGCTAAAGACTATGCTTTGCTCCTTCTTACTGGCCACCTGGCAGAATGCTGGCCTACTTAGGGAGCAGAGAAGGAAATCTGTGAGAGGCAAGTTGGAAAAGTGGGAGGGTGGGTAGAAAAATTGTTTAGTTTAGTTTAGTTTAGTTTAGTTTAGTTTAGTTTAGTTTAGT